TGCAAAAGTTCGCCTCAATTTGACTAAGCATGAGATTCACAAGAAAGTATGTCAGAGTTGATTTTTGGAAACCGAGTGAGCCTTCGCTATGCAACAGAGCCAGCTGCAGGAGAATGTCAACATGGATCGAGGGATTGAAAAAGGTAAGAAGGACTGTTTAGGCCCTTCAGGCTCTTCAAAAAAGGTCACATTGAAAAACCCGGCTTTGTAGGCCGACCTGAAAGTTTGGACATCCTTGTCTCCTTTGACGTTCAAGAGCATGCCAAGAACGAACCCAGCTGCTGAGCGAATGAGCGAAAGCTGAACAATTGGCTTGAACTAAGAGTCAAGCCATGATCACGCCGAAATAGCCTGGAAAAAACGATGCGTCTTGTGACAAGATCATGCGCTTTGAGCTGCAAAGTCATCATGACGCATCAGGTGGCTGAAGCCTTGCATGAGCACCTCGATCTCTTCATGATCCGCGCCAGAATCAGGAAACTGGCGCGTGACTATTGGCCTGACAAGGTTGCCATAAACAAGGTTTCACAGCAGCTCCAATCTGCCTGGAATCCAGCCCATCTCCGGAGAGCAAGTAACGCTTTGTTTCTCCATCCTCTGAGGTCCTGGCGCAAACGAATCTTGAAAGACAACAAAGGTTCTGTGCAGTAGTCCAGAGTCCTCTTTTCTATCCAGAAGGACGTCCCATCTGTCCCACCGAAATCAGCCTCTTCACAGCGCACAGCACTGAGAAGCCATGTTCCGTGTTCAACACATGCCACCTAGCCCGTTTCCTAGCGGCTTTGCTTGCGCAGGCCACAATTCAAACCCGGCCACAAATTTCAGACACAAATGAAAGTCCGCCTCGGCATGCAGAACAATGCCGCAAGTACTGGGGCAAGGGGAATGGACATTGAACTTCATCAAATACCTGGAGGAGCACTTCAAATCGCGCATGTGATCTCATAAAGCCATTGCATGCACTTCAAGTTTTGCAGGCACTTGTCCAGTCGTCCACAGCGGAGCCAGTACAGTGGCGTGTCCTGATCCCAATGCAGGCCACTTGACCGGTAGGCGGCATGTGCGTAATCTATGATACTTAGTCAGTAGCTGCTTGAAGCGTGAAATTCCAAGCACCCAGAACCTGTCAGGCGTGAAGGCGCACGAGCACAGCTGATGTTGGCTTGCGGCCTGCACATCGTCAAGGCCTTTCAAGTCGACTGCTCCCGTGGGTGCCATTAGCCTGCAGGGCCAAGCAGGTAAAAAGATGAGTTTGACACCGCACTGAAAAGCTCCAACAGCTGCTCCTTCAGCGCCCGCCATCAGAGGGATCAAGCGGCAGGACAAAGAATTGTTGATGCATTGGGGACTGTTCACTGCGTGTCACTACCATCTGGCACAACACTGACATTGCGGTCTGCTGAGAAAGCTCTGTACCGGAAACTGCCTTTGTGTGCTTGTGTTTGAGGTCTGCAGCTAGCCCACAGCTAGAGCTCAGGAACAGCGCACAAGGGCTAGTCTTCACGACTTTTGACCGCATCCTGCGCAATTCTATCAAGGTGGTGATTAACCTGGTGCGGAATTGCTGATGTGTGAAGTCTCCGGGCTAAGGACGTAATTTGCAGAGGCGCCCAGGTGCGTGACTTTCCTGAAAAAGCTCGAGTCATGCGAACGAACGTCTAGGACAGTGGCAAACAAGATGTCGGCCTGGGCCACGTGACCATGTTCTTTGGTGATGGCCTGAAGTTTAAAGCATTCAATCCGAGTGCGGCTAGCTGACAAGCCATGGCAAGCACTGCTTCGTGCTCAAATTGTAGAAGAGGCCGACGTTCTCCTGAGGCCACTCGGCATGCAGTTTAATTCCACTTGTTCACGCTGTCCAAGCGAAGCTCACGGCCTGAATGAGCAGGAGGAGCTCGTTTCCTCAGTGCCGGTGGCGACAAACAACTGAGCCGTAAGAAGTATTCTAATGCCGCGGGCTCGCATGTAACTACAACGAGTAGAACCTACGTGCAAAACCTATGACCTTGCGCGCTCGCACAGGCTTTGCACTTGCTTGCGCGGCATTTGTTACACCAATGAAACCTACGCAAACTCGTGCAAAACGAATTGTGATGGTGTCAAAGCCGAAGACCACATGCATTGAAGACGTGGCCAGACATGCCCTCAGCAACCTCCAACACAAATCTTGCGCACAACTTCGCCCAACACAAACTTGCACGAGCTTACGCGAAGGCTTACGTGCGCACAGAAAACAAGGCGTAGTACGTACTTTTATATTATATCGTTTATATTATGAACTTCCACAGAACATTCCTTTTCACAACTCAACCAGTATTTTCTCTCCTTGAGCCGGGCTCAGCCGCCTGAGGCTCGAAAGGTTGAGGATGTAGCATTTAGGGCTTCGATAAGTAAGCTGCTGCTGGGGCAGCCGAAAAAGGCCTATCAGCATTCCCTAATGGGCTTTGGTAATGGAAGCAGTCGTTCGGCTGAATCAACCAGCAAGAACTTGTGGGACCCTCAGTAACATTGATCCACTCTTCAATCCAAAAACACTTCTAAACCTATACCTTCCGTGTGCAGACGTATGCTTGTGAAAGTCGCGGGCACTCTCAGATGTTGGGGTTAGCATTGATGCGTCCCATTCACGGCAA